AATGAAATAATCAATCTCATAGTTTCCAAGTAATTAACGAGAGCAATCACTTCATCATGGTGAATGCCGGGTCTCTGATTGTATTATTTTACAATCAGTATTGCTTTATGTCTTTCAACTTTTTCTTTAACATTCTTCTTTGCTTTATAAACCCATTTCACTCCAATTGTCTTTTGACCTTTTGGAAGTATTGCTAGCTTTAACATATCATTCTTCAAGTTTGCTCTGATTTATTCATCCACAGTTTTTCGGGCATTTTGTGTGTTTCACCGCTCCTTCAAAATCTATTAGCTCACATCCGCAAGGATACAAAAGAGTATTAGTTCATTTTAATTTTTGATTTCTTCATATAGTTCTTGTAAGTTCCTTTTCCGTGGTGTCCTTGGCGAGGTGCTTGAGCTTGTAACTTGGTAAATGTCCACAAGGGCTTTCCTGTGATGAATGAGGTGGAGTTGTATCCTCTGGCATTTCTTCTCTCTAGTTTCCTTTCTTGTTCCCTTTCGATAATCGGAGGAAAATCATATCATCTTCTCGAGTATCCTACCTTCATGAATCTTCTTCATTAAATTCAATATTTCTACTAGCGATGACATTATTGGTGGGTTTTATTATAGAGTTTGAATCTTCTAGATCTTGAATCATAGTCAATAAAGAGGAATTTTTCACTTTTATCATCGTGCTTGGATTTCTTTGATCGGGCACATTAGCATTGGCAATGCTTTCAAGACTTTCAAGTGTGACATGCTAGATTTTGTCCACTCCATGCTTCTTGAAGTGTCATTCTCCATTAGTTGGAAACCTGTTGAGCAAATAAAAAGCAAAATCCATTATTTCGGTCCAATATTCTTTTTGCCATCTTTGACTTTTAGCGTGGCTTGGACCATGTTGAAAATGATTCAATTTTTCCTTCCAACATCATCATTTTGTTGAGGAGATCTTGATATTACTGGAGGTCGAAGCATTCCATTTTCTTCACAGAATTTCTTAATTTCCCTTTATGTAAATTCTCCTTCTCTGTTGGATATCATAACTTTAATTTTGAAGTAACTTTCCCTTTCGAAAATTGAATTAAATTTCCTGAAAGCACCAAATACCTTGGATTTTCCTTTTGAAAATAAATCCATATTATTCTACTAAAATCATCAATTAATAAGTAGATATAATTGCTCTTACCGAGGGAGCTACAATGGATCGACCCCATACGCATCGGTATGAATGAGTTCTAGTAGCTCGTGTGCTTGCTTCTTTTGGAAAGTTCTTTCCAGAATGCTTTCCAAGTAGGCATCCTTTATAACATTGATTCGAATGATTGATGAATGGCAATCCTTTGATCATTCTCTTCTTGGATAATAACTCCAAATAATCAAAATTGAGATGTCCGAAACTTAAATGTCATAGTGATGATATATCTTTTATAGAACACTTCAAGAATTTTAGAACATTATTTTGAATATTTAACAAAAATATTCTATTATTTGTCAATGGTATTTTTTTTTCTATCAAATTACTTTTGTTTTTCATATGAATGTCATTGGCATTTTCAAAAAATTGATGCACGCTTAAAATATTATTCTTCATGTTAGGCACATAATAAACATTTGGATATCAACTTTCAAGCATATAAGATATCACCTTTACCTCTTACCAGAGTTGTGGAATAATGTCCAAACGTGACATTGCCACTCACCATTTCGTGAAGTTCTACAAAAATGTTTTTATTTTCACGTGTGATTGCTAACACCGGCAATATCGAGATACCAAGTATTTGCTCCAAAGTACTTTTCTTCTTCTTTGCCTTTCTTCATATGTTTGAAAACACCCCATGAGTTCCTTAATGGTCATGATCTCTAATTTTTAGTTTCTTCAATGGTGACTACAATATGCCCCTATTTGATGGAGATTCAAATAAGATTTTTAGTAAATTTTGATAAAAGTTGATGAAATGTATGGTTGAAAATTGTAGATCCCACAAAATGTATGGTTAAAATTAATTGTCGATTTTTGATTTAGATTAAAATCTAAAATTTAATTTCTACAAAATAGGGGCATAATTAGATTATGATTCTTTCATTTATAGAAATTTGAAATTTTTGTTTTTTGCTTCTTAATATCGCAAGTATACGATATTGTAACAATTAATATAGTAGACCTTTGAGTCCGGATGATCGTTCCCGTGAGAACTATACTTTAATACTTAATTTAGTATTTCTAACTCCTATTTTATTAAAAAAATAAAATAAAATAATTGTGATTGTGATTATTTTTCTAACTATAACTAACTAATTGAAAATAGCAATGTGCACACAAAGATCGATTTAAGATTCAAATATGGAATGAGATATTATGATGACAACCATAGTATGAAAGCTAATGAGGATAAAGATACGTTGATCGTGGAGGAAGGAACAATGACGATGTCACAGGCAAAGAATGTCAAGAAAGATACGTGAGGATGGCAAAAAAATAGGACAAATTCGGTACCCACGGGGCCTGCCCCGAACGAGATAGCGATTGCCCACTAATCGGGTATTCGGGTCGGGGATGGGGCGGGAAATTTTGCCTCGTGGCAGGGCCGAGTAATGGGTGCCCTACCTCGTGTTTTTTTTTTTTGAATTCAATACTTTAAATGAAAAATTTTACGAAATTTCGTTAGTTCTAATAAAAAATGACAACTAAAATTATTTGTTTCAATCTAATGAATGGGGGTAATAAAATAAATAATCAAAAAAAAAATTTTAAAATATAAACGGGGTAGTAAACGAGGCAAGGGNAAATATCGATCACAACAAACAAATGAATAAGTTCATGTTGGGTTTGGAAGAAAAAACAAGATGGATCAACTTGGTGCAAGCAACATGCGAGAATGGTGAGGGGCAAAGCTATGTGACCGCATAGAATACCTATGCATGCATCCATACCGAACCAAATTGAGAGCAGTTGAAGTGGCCTGTGTGACCACATGCAGTTTCACTATGCGACCACATAATACAATTTCTAGACTTTTTTTTAATCGAATTTTGTTTAGACTTCTATTTTTTGTTAAAACTCTTTTATGGTATCTTTTTGATATATTTTAGGTGTAAAAGTTACACCTTACAAACTAGGACCCACAAGTGGTCTCAATTAATCTACGAGGCGAAGAGTTCGGGAGCCCCACTCCCCACACACTTACATGGGGCGACCCCATGAAGTGCGGACGACCCACTTTTCGCCCGCAGAGCAAAATTGGACCGACCCTATAACATGCAGACCTCGTGGGAAGAGCTGATCGGAAGCAAGGCAGTAAGAAGATCTTAAGCAGACCTTGTAGCAAGTGATTGACAAGACAAGTCACTGCCATCGTCCCCGCCGCAAATTTATTTGGTCAAGTCCACGGCGGGAAGCTAAGTCACATTTAAGACTGTAATTGATTGATGTCTATTGCAAGATATGTCAGTTATTTAGATGGGGCCACGAGCATTGCCATCTAACGGCCCTTATCCGTCATACCCAAGTATGAAACCTTACACTTAGTGTCATTCAAAGGTAATGCAAGTTTACACTCTCAATCCTATATTCTTGCCATACATTTATCTCATTCATCCCCCAAAAGTGAACCCCCTTTTTGTTCATTGGAGGCTCACATTTTAAGCTCTCCCACACCCATAATTATTTCTTGAATTAACTTGATTTCGTCGAAGTGTGTGCGGCCAACTCCACCCATTTTGAAGAAGGTCATGTGTGCCTAACGATTTGTCCAAGTGTGCAAGAATCCAGATTGCATGGATGTGAACGGCCTTCGGATCTGTTGGACACCTCATTGATACATTTTTTTGGGTCAACAATTCCCTTTTTAGATAGGTTTTATAAGATCCATATAAATAGAACTCATTCCATACATTGTAAAAAATACACAATTTGAGATATATTATTACGAGACATATTGCTTTCTTCTCGTTTTTCATCAAATTAATTCCGAACTTATGAAAATTAAATTCTTGTGACGTTCGCCAATTTAAGTAATTTTCATAAGTTTTGTGATTGCGGGATCAAGATATCGTTAAAAATTATCTTGGTTCTTTGGTTCAATAATTTATTAGGTTGAGCTTTCCAATAGTTGATTCTTGACTTTTTTGGGTTTGATTTAATTTGTCGTGGTTTCCGTAGCTACAATTGCTGCGTGGGTTTGCATCATATTAGAGCATAATAATTTCATCTATTGATTATCTTTAAATCTTAAGTCAAGATTCACAAATTTAATATAGTGTTCAATCAAATTATTCTATCATATTCAATTTACCCATCTCGAGTTCTCATTGAACCTATATAACTAACTCAATCACATATCTTTATGTGAATCAATCTTAGTTGAATGCAATATTTGATCTAAGAATTTATAGAACGGTCACAATAATCAGCATAACCATCTATACGTTTTACACTAAATTACCATATTTTACCATGTGGTCTAAATTTAAAACTTACCTTTCGATTCGTAAAAGATTCACAAAATCATTGAATGATTGACCAAATAATTCAAAATATTAAATCCATAAATAAAATCAACATATAAATAATGGAAGAACTCGAATCTTGAATAAAAGAAATAAAATGTCTCAAATAGATTACATTTTTGCCCTAATATATGGTTTAGCTACTCATAATTTAACTACTCATAATGTAAGAAGAAGGAAAAAAAAGATTTTTATTGAGTATATCATAAATAAAGATGAAGAAAAAAGGATAAATCTTGCACAGTATCAAATTTTTTTTTTTCCCTCTTGGCTCCGCCCGTCAGATAGTGGATTATTGTAGAGCAATGACTTTTTCTAGAACATTGGACTCACTTAATTACGACAATTAACAAGTTCAAACCAAAATAACAAAAGTGCCCAAATCAAGTTTATTTTATAACACACCTCTTGTCACACTAATGGAGTTTTGAGATTCTTTACTCTTATAGCATATTCACTTTCTCCTCTACTGGCCATTTTAGCTCATTCACAACCAATGAATCAATCCTAATCCGGCGACGTTCTCACTGGGATCCCGATCACCATCCGATTACTAGCACCATTTTCCGGCGAGTGTGGCTTATCTAATATCAACAACCTTGAAGGGTGTACCGGTGGTATTGAACCTTCCCATTTTACTGCAACATTAACAATCCCATGCCCCCTTGAACCATCTCTAGCTCTTAGTCTGTAACTCAGGAACCGAATAGATCTTGCCAGAAACAAACAGTCTACCATATCAGCTGCCGGAATCCGACACCATCCCAGTTGAGTACGACCCCATAAGAGACGTTTGGTGTAAAGTTTGAGGCATATTCCAAAATGTATCTGGTAAAAGAATGTGACATCAATAGGTAACCGAAACTTGTCACCCCATGTGGGATTTTTGCCTCCTATATAATCGACCTTTGTTTTGTACACTTGAATATGTTCATTACTACTGGAAGTGGCTGGTCTGTATTGTGAGAACGGTACGGTGATGTCGAGGGTAACGAAAGGCCGGAGACGTCTGCGGAAGATGGCTGAAGAGGTGGCTGTGCTAAGATCTTGAGCTGATACGACAGTAATTTCCAAGATTGAAGGCTGATTATTATTTTGCATGATGAAAATATTTACTTTCAGACAATGAGATGTGAGATTATACGAATATGTGCGCAGACACGTGTATTAGAAAATAAATTAAGACATTTATTGGGGGAGTTTCAACTAATTTCCGAGTGTAAGTCACAAGGCAACTTCCTTTGTGGAAAAATGCAAGATTGAACATTCAAATGCAGACAAATTGATAGAATTTGTCACGCTGGATGGATATAAAAAGCAGCATGCGCCTTATAAATAAATGTGAATATATCTTTCTATATATTAAAAGTGGCTATATAACGGAATTTCTTGTTTTTAACGGAAAAACTAACGGAATTTGTTGTTTTAATGGATTATGTAACGGAATTTCTTATTTTAAACAGGTTCAGTGTTTTTATCATAACTTTGTATTCCGATATCCGATTGAAACGATTCAAAATGTGTTGGAAAGCTAACTCATCTGGCTACAACTTTGATTCAGACCTCATTCTCCAATTCGATCAATTTCTATGCCAAAAATAGGTCTCAATATGAGATTAAAATATCGAAGCATAACTTTTCGGTTGGAAATTGATTTGTGATCATCTTTTGATTAAATTTGATTCCATTGACGTCTTCTTTTATCTAACTGACTCCGAGCACTTTCAAATCTTCATCGTGAGGTTCGGCACAACTTTTATGTATTTACAT